CCCTTGTGTATATGTGAGAAAGAGAAGTAAAGGTTATGAGTAACACCCAGCTTGTTCAAAAAATGTTAACTGTTGAAAACTATATCATCTGGACTGTGGTGTTGTTGACAGTTCTGAATGAGTTTTTAGTTGCTAAATCTCTTTATCTGTGTTTTTTTTAATCCAAAGTTTCAGGTAAATTTTCCTTTTATTGGGCTTTTGTAGCTTTTTTCCTGTTCTTTATTCATTGTTTCCACAAATATTTTTGTATTAAGTTATCTTGTTCAACATCTGGCTAATAAAAGAGCGAGAGAGACTAGTGTAGGTTACCAGAAAATATGTATTTTTTGACATTTATATCAAAATGTTGAAGTTTTGCTTTTATACTTACAAGAAATTAACCCCATGTGTAATTTTGGTCAAAATTTTTTTCTATCATTAACTATCAACACTTATAGTGTAAATCCAAATCACTGTATTTGTAACAGTGCAGTTTCCTATCCTCTCTCTCTTTGTAAGCATTTTTTTATCAATTAGTAAATAATTTTTGCTTTTTATAGTTTCTGTTTCATGTTCTATCTAAGATACTTCAATTTTGTTTCTTAACTCGTACTCTGGCAGTGGATTTTAGTTATACAAAGCAATTCAACAACTTTGTGAAAAAATTAAGACATTATATGTAATGTAATAAAACTTATTTTATTGTTAGAGAAAACATAATTATCTTAAAAATGATTAAACAAATGTAAATTATGTTAACTAATAGATGACACATTTGGAAAATACACTAATTGTTTTGATATTTAATTGTATTTAAAATATAACACTTAACATTCTAATAGTGTTACATATAACAATTTCGAATGGCTTAAAACTGAGTTAAATTGTACTTTGGATTTAGTAATTAAATAAATGCCAATATGTATCCAATTTATGATATTTGCCAATAAGATTGATACACACGGTTTTCTTTTTTAATACAAATATGTTTTGATATACAAACAACAATACAATTTACAATAGTAATTATTACAAACGATGTATATATACAAAAGTTTTACAAACTTGCAAACAATATAGTCTTCTTTCTGGTCTGGAACTTTCCTGATATCTTATCGAGGGTTCACGGTGAGCAAGTTAATTTCAAGTTGACGTAGGAACAATTCACTTAATAGAGGGCTTGCTACCTCTGTGGGCCTCACTGATCACATGCCGATTACAGGTCAAGCTTGAGTTTTTTACTGCTGAAGTTATATAATGTCTTCGTAAAAGTACTAATGTCCAATGTGAATCCACTGAAGTCAAATGGTTTATATTAATAAATATACCTGGTCAAATATTTGAAATTTTCCTATAAATAAGCGTTAATCACAATTAGAGCTTCTAAAGTTTATAGTATACCAACTATAACAAACCAATAACAGATACTTTTTTTTGGCACGTCATGTTGGTTATATATATATAGGTGTGTGGGGTTTGTTGAAAAATTCAGATTACGTAACAATACAAAGCTACACTAGCATTTACGTACACACACATATATTGTTGATTCTTACACTCGAGAATCTTCTACAACTTTAGAGAATAGACAGGAGGTTCGCAATACATATTTAACTGTATAAGTTACGCACATTTCTAAATATAAATTTAATATAAACTAACATCAATGTTAAAATATATGTATAATAATAAATCTGTCACAATAGAAAAATAACATTTTTGTAAAGAAACTGAAATATAATGGATAAACACGTAACCATACAGATTGTGTTGATTTTACTATACATTATTGTATGCCAGTACCAATAGTAGAGGTTGCCACCGTTTGTATAATCAAGAGTAATAATTGGCTTCAGAGAATCATCTGGATGTCCTGTTACTTCTATATGATGTATGTATACTCTCCTGTGTCTGTACTTTCATTCTTCAGAAATGCTGATTAGTCACAAAGGTTGACAGGAAGCATCATGTTATATTATTTGAATCACTTTGCTGAGTCAGAAACTCTGAAATACAGAAAATAAACACCAAAACACTTAACTGATACAAGTAATATCTGAACTTCCCTTCTAAACAATACAGTTTTTGTGTATCCAGTTCAATGTTTACAAGTTTAAAGAAATTGTCAGAAGTACCCCTTTTAAGTAATAATTACTGTTTTTTCTTTGCTCCAGGTCTCATTAGGAAAGAAATAATAGCACAAACTGTTACTTTATTGATCTTAACATAGCTGTGTGAGAAGGTCTGACTTTAACAGTATTTATACATAAAATATATAGGCACGCAAACAAATAATATAGTTGCTACTTGCATTGTTTTGTTTTTAGTATCAATTAAAGCTAAACTAGAATTTTATCAAACTGAAAAACATTAGTTTGCTTTGTTGGATTTTATTCTCAATTAATTATTCCAGTTTCTAAACAGATTTATTGAAATAATCATTGTACATCAAAATTTACATTGAAACACCTTTTTATAATTGTTTTTTCAGGCAACAACTAATGATGAAAATACTGATAACAACTTTAATGATATCATTCTTTACAATTTATGCTTTTATTACAAAGAATATTTAACATTTTTATCAACTACAATACTAGAAGTTAATGTGATGATACAGAGCTATGTTATAGATGTGTGTGATTTTGGTCTAAGGTCCAAGGTACTTAAACATAAAAGTAATATTTAAATTTCCCTTTTGAACAATAACATCGTTTCCTAGCCTTATAAATGTCTCAGGCTTAAAGCCATCTAGAAGTCTAGGTTGTAAATTCTATTTATGTCTGTCCCATGGAAAAAATGTGAATATTATAGCTTGATGTATAGCCCAGATTAGAGCATAAGACAGGTCTTATACGTTGATTTATAACTTAGATGGAAGTTGTATGTGAAAGTTTTCAAAAGTGATACTGAAAGTATCCAAATATATCTACAAATGAAACTATACATTGTAGAAATAAATATTGAGTTAACTTTGATGAACAGTATATTTGGTTTATGTGATAAATATATAGTTTTAAAAAAGTATAATTTTTTTTCATTCCTTGTATTGCATCTACATCAACAGATGAAAAAGTAACTGTTTTTAGAAGCATGACCACTTAAAATATATTGTTTCAGCATACAATCACAGTAAAAGTATAGCAATGAGAACTTTTATAGTTAGATTGTTACTTTATTCATGAACAATATAGGCTTATAAACCCTTTTTTATATATATATCAGTTATTTAATATTTATTTAAACTAATTTAGAAATATTCTTTATAAATAGTTTAATGCTGTATTCAACTATTATTTTATGTCTTTTAAGATTGAACAACTAAGTAACAGGGTGATAATCATAAAGATAGATGTTCCTTTGATGCAGTGAGAAAATTTTTGTACTACTAGATCACAGGGAGTATAATTTATTTTTGTCCCCTGGTGGGACAGTGGTAAGTCTACAGACATACAGTGCTAAAATCTAGGGTTTGATTCCCCATGGTGGACACAGGAGATAGCCCATTGTGGTTTTTCTCTGTAAATAAACAAAAAGTCGTTAATTTTTTTAGATTTCATGTAGCCACAGGATACACTTTCTTGACGAAAAGATAATAAATATATAAAATTTTATAATCCTAATTTGTATCGTGGAGTGAAAACAATATATTTTCATTTTGTACAATCATTGTTATCACTAAAATACTTTGACGAAATTTAATTCAAAAAACTGTAAACCATATAATTTAATACATTGTAACACATGTATCATATCTAAAACTTTCTATTTCTCTGACAACGAGAAGCATGTAACAGGATTGATATTATTATATCTTGTAAATTATGTTATAATTCACAAGTATGTTACATAGATATGCTTGTAATAACATCAACATTTTCAATCATATAAAATTAATTATATAGGCTTTACTATATATTAGGCTGTCAAGAAATTAATGTCTCATTTATGAACAACTTTCTGCAGATGGAGTCCAGCGTTTAGGGTCGGAACTGGTTTTTGTCTAGGACTGAACCATTGTTTTTAGCATTTAATATTTGCATAGAGAATCCATTTTTCATCACCGGTGACAATTCTGTCCAAAAATGGTTCATGCACACTATGCACCAAAAGAGACAAAGCAATGTTCACACGTTGGAAACATTGATCATCAGAGAGTTTGTGAGGCACCACCTTCTCTATGGAGTTTTCCCCATATTCCTTAGATGTATTGTTTCATCAGAAACATGCAATTTCAGGGCCATTTCACAACTGTGTTGTCTTGTGTTAGACTCAACAAGCATCTTCAGAGCATCAACATCAATTCCAGCATGTTGGCCCCCTGACTTCACAGTTTTTACGGCTAGTCACCTGAATGAAATTTGCTGAACCATCGTTGACACTTATGAACTTTCAAAACATTTCCATAAACTTCTTTAATATTCTTTGTGGCTACAGAGGCATTGTTTCCCTTCTTGTATTCAAATGGCATTACATGCCGAATGTGTATCTCGTTGTGTGCCATAAGAGATTAGAGTGTACTAAACTTTACACATTATATAAACTATACTAACGTGATATTTAGGTGGTTCTTTTAACTATTATACGTGATGTACGTTTTCTTGAAGGTGGTTAATGAAAAGATGCTTTGCATTTGATGGGACATGAAAGAAACGTCAAACTCCTCAATCCACAGTGAACTGTCAATGCAGAGATCTAGAGTCAGCAACTGGAACATTTAAATCAAGCCCTTCATCAGAAAGATGTTCTTCTTCTCCACGACAATGCATGTCCACATGTGTCACATTTCACACAACACAGGATGATAGAGTTGAAAAGTTCTCCTCCACCCACTATATTCTCCAGGTATGGAAACGTCAGATTACCATCTTTATTGTTCGCTGCAATACCATCTTAATGGGAAAATGTATGCAAATGTGGAAGGTGTTAAAAGAGGACATTGACATGTTTTTTGCTTCAAAGAGAAGTGATTTCTTTAATCAGAGCATTAAAACCTGACTGTAAGATAGAAAAGCATCATCAATAAGGATGGAGACTATTTCATTTAATAAATGTTTTGTTTTGATATACAAGTTGTTTGGGTTTTTTCATGTAAAAAAAAAGCAATACTAGTTTCTTGACAACCTAATATGTTGTTTTCTTTGTATTACATTGAACAACTGGATGATTCAGGTATTCTTTTAATTTCTTAATTATTATTTTGTGT